GTTGTTGTTGTTGTTGTTGTTGCACACTCGTGTGCACAATGACAAACGTAGCGGCATAGCTGCCTCAGCACATCTCAGCACTGTGGCTCCACGGCGCCTGCCAAGCTTTTAAGTGTTGTGTAGCATCCTCCCGCGTCTTCGGCGATCATGGCCTCCTCCACCGCAGCTACGCCAGCCTTTGATGCCGTTGCGACGGCGAACCGCTTGCGGCGTTGCTTGCTGCGGTGATGCCGCATGGACGAGCTCATCCCAACAGCCACAGCTATCGGCTATCGGAGCCGGCGCCACTTCCACAAGCATCCGCAAGCATCGGTGGAGCGTGAATCAGTGTTGCCATCTGGGGCGGAAACACCGGCGGACTTCTTCTTGAGACGTCCGACACTCTCGGCCACGGCGTCGGTATTTGCTGCACCCTCAGTGGCGGCGACGCCGGCAGGGTCGTCAACGCTCTCCGCTGATGCTGCTGCCATGGGTTTATCCTGAGGTTTCGCTTTGGGCTTGGCTCTCGACTTTGGGGTAGGTGCTTGCTTGAGTAGTGTCCGCCTGATGTTTATACTTACAGTTGTCCCCAAGCTTGCACTTCCCCGTCCGCGACCAAAGCTGACAGAGCTGCACCTCCGTGGATGTCGTCGGCGTCTTGTCTGATGTCGAAGGATTTGCAGCTGAAGATTTTTGCAGCCCCCTCATGCTTCTAGTAACACTTATCCCCCAAACTTACACCTCCCAAACTTCTGAAGGAATGCGCAAGGCCTGTCAGCAACGGCAGTCGTTTTGCCACCACCCTCTCCCTTCCCTCGTCCATAGCCGCATGAGGATCCGTTTCCACCTGGCTCTTAGTTCGGGTTTGTTCATCTGCACTAACAAGCTGAAGTTGTTGGTCCATCAACGCAATTGTGGTTTCCACTCCTGAGTGCGTGGGCCGGATGATCTCAGGCCTCGTCCTAGCCAATGACAAGAGAGTTCGGAGGCGATCATGCCTCTTCTCTAAGACTTTGATCAAGGTGTTTAGTGCCTGGAGTTCTTCGTCTGGATGCTATCTGGGGTAAGTTTAGGGGTTCAGCTCGCGAACAGGCCAACTTCCATCGCCGAAGGATGCTCAACCCATCTCCCCCCCCCGGTTGCAATATTTCAAGAACCTCCCCAAGAAGGTCAGCTGCCCTGACGGCATCCTCGCCATGCTTCTCCATGACACTCTGCTTTGGCTCTGCAGGTAAGCAGCGAATCAACAGCAATACCAGGCGATTCTCTTTCTCTGTATCCTCCAACCGCACCTCCGGGTAATCTGCAAGGCCTGCCATTCTGTTCTGATGTCGATGCTCCGCCAACTGAAATTGAGGCTTGACAGAATCGCTGAAAGAAGGTGCAACGGTACCCGTGACAGCCTCTATCGCTTAGTCCAAATATGTAACCCCATCCCCAACTCCCAGGGCTCTCCTGATCCTAAGTTCAATGCTGGCACTTCCTACAAGAGCCTCCACCTTCCAAGGTGACTGCTCTCTTCAGCCGAGTCGGCTGTCCTTTTTTGGTGCAGCTTTTGCTGCCCCTTCGCCAGCGCTAAGACCCGGCGGTGGCTGGGCAGGACCGATATAGCCTTGCAAACCTCCAGCTGAACCCGGAAACCCTAAACCTTAAACCAGCTCACGAAGGTTCTGCTGCTGCGAAGTTGCTGTGTGGAAGCCGCTGCAACTGCTGAAGCTAGTAGCTGAAGCTGTTGCTGCTGCTGCGGCTCACTGTGTAGACTCATACGAGAGCACCAAGAAAGGGAAGAAATATGATCGGGACGGTCAGCCACTGTGAAGCCAGCCCCTCCATGAAACTTGTAACGATAGGCTTCTCCAAAGGCATCCGGATTTGGAGGAGGTACTCCTCACAATCAAGGCGGTGGAGCAACTCCCTGCCTCTACATTTCAACCGTCTGCCAAGAGCCTAAAAGGGCGCCAGCTGTCGTCTCATCACGACTGTCTTTCAGACCTCGGCGATCTAAGTTCCCACCCTCCCTGGGCGAGCCACCTAGACAACACCCAACAAGTGGTCGCTCGCACGGAGGACGACGCTCGCAAGGGAGCGCGCGCCTTGGATCTGGCGGTGCTGTTCCATCAGGACACCGGGTTTTACAGCAACTAGGAGTCCAAGGAGCGATATGGAGCGATGGCTTCTACCACCCATACTGTTTACGAGTCCCTTCTAACCTTCCCGGAGCCGGCTCAAGAGAGCATACCTGCTGCTCAAAGCCTGCGAAACCAGCCCCGCCATGCCAGGGCGGACTCGTGGATCAGGTTCGCCCGTTGGGGTAGGGGAAGAGGCGAAGAAGGATCAGCTGCGAGACTGCCATCGGACAGCGATGAGATCGAGGACAATACATGCTCTGCAAAGATCGCGGACTCAGCAGGACCCGCAGCAGCAAAGTCAGCAGCGATACCTCAAGGTGCACCGAGAGGACCACCTCCACCAGATCCACGTAATGGACCGCCGCCTCCAAAAGCTATGTCGGATTTGATCGTATGTGTTTGGTAGGGGCGCAACGGAACATCTACCGGCCCTGCAGCCTTGGCTCAGGACGGCTGGTTTCCGTATCGGGTTAAAACTTTTTCACCTTTACCTTGGTAGCTCTGGTTTTTGCACCCCCACGGCCTCCGTAGCTGTCCTTCGCCATGGCTTTTTGATCTTGCCTTACAGGCTGATCTGACTGTTTATCCTGTCCGGGCAGTTTCGCTGCCGGTCAGGTTACTCGCTTTCTCCACTCTCCGAGTGGTTCAGGCCTTTAGCTCAGACTGACTGCGTCTGCGCCTCTTTTGGGGCTTCTTGCAAAGCTCGTGACCGTCGATGTGCGTAGCCCAGGACGGGTCCCACTTGTCCGCGACGGTCTTCTTCTTGGGACTGGGGCGACCTTTGGGATCAGCCTTGGCTTTGCCCTTGGGGGCTCCCTTAGGGGCCGGCGAGGAAGGAGAGTCGCCCGTAAGCTTGCGTTTCTTGCCGGCGTCCGGGCACCAGGCAGGCGAGGCTGTAGCGTGGGCGGAGGACGGACCGGAGCCGGGGGGCGAGGCCGCGGCTGCAAGGCGGATGAGATATCTTGCCGGCAGAAGGCGATTTCATTGAGGGAGTCCGACAGAGACCAGCCGTGATCTCGCATCAAGGCCCAAACGGACTCCCATACGGACCGGTCGGCGGCGAGGATCTCAGCCAGGGACGGGGCCCGAAGCGTGGAGTCCAAGGGCTGGGCCAGGGCAATGGACAGAAAGCGGTCGTTGAAACGCTTGATAAGCAGAAGGTGAACGACCTCCAACATGGCTAGCGCGGTCGCTAGCATGGTACAGGCTCGACGGACCGTGGATTCCACCGGATGGGAATTGTGAATGGAAATCGACGGACCGGAGGGTTCCTCGTCCACTTCCAGAAGGGTTTGGAGGAGCTGACGGTCCGACCTGGGGCGGCGGGATTCCTGCCAAGTCGCCGCGTCCTGTTCCGACGTACGGAACCGCCAAGCGATCCATGCGGAGGCCTTGGAGTCGATCTGCTGCTTAAGGGCCGACAGGAAGGCCGGCAGACGAAGCCGGGGCCGGAGGACCCGGAATAGAGTCTTGGGCTAAGATGACCCGGCGACGGAGCACAGCAGCCTCCGGGCTGGTCATGAGGGAGTGGTCCTCAGCCACGCTGAGGACCGACACCACAAATTGATCAATGGGAGCCTCCGCGGGGATAGCGAAAGCAATCTGCCCCAGAGTGAGAAAGTTGGCCGCCTTGAGGCGAGCGGCCACCGAAGGTGGAGCGCTCCAGTCCGCAAGGAGCCGAGGGACCTCCGAAGCGTCATCCAAGCGTGCGGAAGCCATGGCGAAGTCAGAGCCCGCAGGATGGGAGAGCAGGGGAGGGAGAGAGAGCCAAAACAGCTGCGGAAAGACGTAACCCAAGGCAGACCGAGCAGGCAAGCGAGCAAAACGCAGTTTTACTCGGAGCCGGCGGAGGTCATACCGCTGCGTCACGAAATGTGCGCAGCACATCGATGACAGCTGTCAAGGCCGTACGAAAGGCCGACAAGAAGGCAGAACGAGAGCGCTGCATGAAGGTATACTCATTCATGAGCGCGTTGGAGCGTTCAATAAGGTTCCCAACCGAAGCCCGGAAGTGGCGGGTGACCGGTGACGTTCTGATCCTCCGTGATTTCCCTGCGAGCGGCATCCAGACCAGACTCCACATCCCTGACTCGTTGTTCCAAAGTGGCCAGACGTCGTAGTAAGTCCAGGTCCAGACGTCCTGCCGGCTCGGGCGGAACTGCGGAACGGAGGCGGGAGAGAAGTCTTCGATCGGGTCAGCCATGTAGACAGGAAGACAGGGGGGAACGACCGACACCAGGGGGAGAAGGGAACCGAAACGGCTGCGGGAAGTAAGCAAGGCTCAGACCAACCAAGAAAAACGACGCCGGAGTACGCAGAAGCACCGGGCG